CCATTATGATAAGGAAATTTAAGAGAGGTTTTCTCCACTATTCATGATGGTGCACTTGGTATCATATACAGGGATTAGCCATCTCATAGTGCAACATTGAATTGCATCCAGGTACATTTGAAGTTGGGCTGGTCAGTGGATTAGAACAAAACTTTGTGACATGAACAAACATCACAAAATGTTAATCCACAATGGGGAGCATGCCTCTAATGTGGAAGATGTACAAAATTTGGTCTTGGAAGGATTCCACTGGTAACTGTCCTTCTAGACAATTTTCCAGTTTTCAACTCTAACACGTAATATCTGGTTTTCAAGAAAGGCTTGGATCCAGGAAAGATGTTTTCCCTTTTTTCTCAAGTGCTGAAGTTTGTGTAGATATCTGTGAATTGGAACTTTATTAAAAGTCTTAAGAGAAGTCAAGATAAATAAATTGATGAGGATGTTGTTCAGGGATGCACTCCAGCCCCGAAGACAAGCAAGTATGTTTGTTTTAATTGACCTTGCAGGAGTGAAACCTTCTTGGCTTAGCAGGATACATCTAGTTCCTATAGCATGACCCAGTACAAATTTAGCTATAATTCTCTCCTGAATTTTACATATTGAACTGGCCAAACTAATTGGCCTGTAGTTGTTGGGGACAATTTCACTTTCGTTCTTGAAAATAGGTATAATATTAACTGTTTTCCCATCACCTGGCAGGATTCAGAATCTGAAGACTGACAATAAATCTGAGTGAATTGCATCAATTACCAACAGCACTTCATTAGGAAGAGAGTGGGGATTTTATTTGCTCCAAGAAGTGACATTAGATCCAGACTGTTGAGAAGGTCTCACATCTCAGATTCTTGCAAGGTAATGTCTTCTAAACATTCATCAGTTGTTGAATCAAAGGTAGGCAAGTTCTATCGTAAAAAATTTCACAAACATATCTGCAAAGATATCAGCGATTACTTGAGGAACAGCTGCAGCTTCATCATTGATGAAACTCAGACTGCAGGATAGATGTCGTAGAACAGTTTTGTCTTTGAACGTATGAATAAAATTGACTTCCCCCAGTTGGGCTATTTTGTGTTCTATGTTCATTCTATGAATCCTGATCTCCTTATGTGATTATGTTGTCTTATAATGATTGTCTGTAATTTAGCAAGTTGGTGAGTTGTCCATAATCTTTAAGGGCAAATGAGATGTAAAATGTGGTTAATTCAGGGTTTGGTCCTCATTGTGGGTTTATGCTCTTGTGAATGTGTATTTAAAACATGAACAATGTTTGTATTCAGATTCCTCCAATTGTGATTAACATCATGACTATGGTGGAAATGCATTGCTGATGTAAGGTGACGAATACCTCTCTTAATGGCTTCAAAAATGGCTTGAAAAATCTTCTTTTATTGGAGGATTGATGGTGACTTTGCAAATTGATTTGTAGGCCAAGAAAGAAGTCGGTAGGGTCATTGCTGCCAAGGGGGCTCATTGTAGAGGCAATAGAAAGTACTTATTCATTGTGAGTAAAGATGAGGACTATGGTTGATGGGCACTGTCCCTCACTGATTCTTGCCGCATCTGTGACCAGTTGAACAAAGGAAGTATCTTCAAATACCTTAAGGACTTCTGTGATGACTAGTGGTTAAATTGATATATGGCATCTGATGTTGTAAGTGACCATTGGAGAGTTATATTGCATGTTATTGGACCACATGAGAGTTTGGACCATTGGGGAGTTATGATCGAATTACTAATTGTTTTAACAACCTGCCTGTGTTTACAGTGATTGATCCTTCACCTGCAGCTCTCGTGAAAGCAAAGTGTGCACGTTGGGCACAGAACAAACTTATTTACTGCTCTTCAGCTACAATTATGTCTGATTAAATTACCCATTTTACCCATGTGTTAGTATTACTGATGTACATGAGAACCATTGGCAAAAAAGAGCTGTACTAAGGTTGATGGGTGAACTAAATTAGTACTTTATATGGCTAGATGAAAGTCTAATATGTAATATTGAAATATATCAACAGGTATTGGCATAAATTTCTTTGCAGAAAATCACTTGAATGTGTGCAGAAAAAGAATCCATTTTTATTTGAGCTTGCTATAAAACAGTTTCGATGTTGAAGAGTTGTAGGCAACGCTTACGCAGCAAACCAGACAAAAAAAACTCTATATTAATAAACATATGCTTGGTAATAAAATAAACATTTGATACCCTGATAATCTGCAGATCACATCTTTTGTATGACCTTGTAATTAAAATTACAACAAAATTTTAGAAAAATAAAAGATCAATCCAACTCACCTGGGGGTGGCCTGTTGAAAACAGATTTCTGAGAGGAAGTTGGCATCAAGGAATGCAATGGAATAATCAGGTAACGAGCTGAAACAAAGAATAATCTTAAAAATGTGCTAATCCGAACAACTAATGAACTTCTTTGCACAGTTATCTCCACAGTTATCAACAACAACAACAGCATTAGTAAATGTTTTTTTTCAATTTTGACACCTAACTTCAAGTTAATTTAAAGTAATGAGGTTTATTTTGAAATATTAATGGTAACGACACATTCCACTATAATATTAAATAAGGTATTTTTTTAATTAATTTGCTCTTCAACCATTTACCGCTACATTTTAGTGCCGTACAACCACAAATATTATAGAAAGTTTACTAAGAGGTCAATTGTTACAACAGTGTGAACTTGAGTTAAGAATATCAGCAATATTAATAGCAGTTACTATAATAATCTACACAATCCACAAGATAACGATTTCTTAAACCCTCTTTTCTTCCTAATATTAGAAACAATTATTGTTGTTTTGCGATTTATTCTTCATAATATTCAATTTCCTTGAATAAATGTTGTTAATTTTTAAAATATTGAATTTTAATTGTTTCAAATGCAATACAATCTAAGTGCTGATCATATATTACTCTGTTTATGGTAACTACTACAAAACAAGTTATTTTTTATTTATGTACGAAAAACATAAAAAACAATACTATTTTGTATTAAAAATTGCTGTCACTAATCTCTTATTGTTCACAAATAGTTCAATTTCAATAACATCGCAGACAAATCTGGATGCGCAAGGGGATTTCAGAAGTTTCCCGTCACAAAGAATGCATTCTATTAAGCATGTGAATGGGTACAACAGATATTCTTTCCTTAGAGGGAAGGTTAAGAAGCTGTTGAAAGGTACTCTAGGTTTTCTCTGGCAAATTGAGCAACAATATGCAATCTGAACTGACATTCTTTTTGTCCTTCTGATGGAGCAAAATTTTAGTATGAATAAAATCATATTATTTATACTTAATTTTGAAAAGAATGCTATACTGGAACAACCATTCAAACCCTTTGTGCCCCTAGGGCAAGAGGGGCTTAACATTAAAAAATTGGTCTTCCACTCCTATGGCCAGCCAAATTTGAAACATATATTTTTTGTCCCTTTCTGTGAGAAGCTGGATAGAGTGCACATGATTCTATAATATACAATCTGTATATGGTTATGGTAAATCCATTAAGATATTAACTGGTAAATGGTACTGTTGATGTAAATTCATTGGATGCCTTTCACCATGTGTAATGAATGACAGATCAGTGGATAGAGCACCTTCGATGCAAAAGGCATCCCTCATTTGATTCTCAGCTCTTTCAGATTTTTTATAGAATGTAAAGGATGGGGTAGGGTGAGATCCGTGATCTTAGAATTTATTCCAGTCTAATAGATGGTTGTGATAAATAAATACCGAATTTTCCTGATTGTATGCCGACCTTTTTTATCTTCTTTTGGACTTCAAAAATTGACCCTCGGCTTAGAATCGGTGTCACCGTGTTGCTATAACGTAGTTGACACCAGACATACGTAAAGATATCTATTTCTCATCAACCATGCATACAACACACTTCCTCCATTTGTTGTGATCAAACACAAGTCATTCCCAAAATCAGAATCATTTTCAAGAGCGTTATTGCACACACAAATGAAAAAGGGTGGTTTACCAGTCATGATGTTACAATGGTTTCAGTTGGTGTGGCATAGTCGCCCTGGCGCTTTGTTGAGGTTACATAGCCTCCTGGTTTTAGGCTTTTACGCGGCCCACACTACCGAGGCAGTGAAGGAGTTGAAAGATCAGGGAACCGATGTGGCAATTATACCAAGGAGACTAATGCCAATACTTCAACCCTTGGATATGCTTTTAAAAAGTGTTCAATCTCAAATGCTTTGACGACACTGAAGATGACTTCCTTTTCATGGACAAAAGTGACTAAGAGTCAAATGAGGAATTTGAGTCATCTGATGACAGTGCCTGAGTCAATGATCTCTAAAATGTATAGAAATCAGTGGTCTGAGTGCATTAGGCATCAAATGTACTTCTTATGTTTAAGTACACTTCCTTTTTTTTCTTTCTTTCTCTACTTCGTTATTTCATTCATAATTTCTTCGGGTCGGCTTACAATCAGTGTCGACTTATAATAGAGTAAATACGGTATTCAGGCAACTTGGGGGTACTTCAGCTAGTAAATCCTAAGAAAGTTTTTCTTTGTTGTTCAGTTTCTCAAGTATTATAAATAACACACCTGACACATGGAATTTATTTGCACAGCAGTCTGCAGACAGAATTTTATATTTTCATTTTATTTCTTTATTTCGATTGTTTGATTGAACAAACAAACACTGATAGGGTTATAGGGTTCTTATAATATATGTAACATATTAATAAGCAAAATTTTTAAATACATATATCTCACGATGTATAAATTCAGGTTGCATGTAAAGAAATGTGCAAATAAAATTAAGTTAATAACAATATTATTGCAGATGATCACAACAAGAGGTTCTTATCCCTTTGTTGGTTTGACTTAAGTAGTTACTCAAGTAGACCCTAAATGATTAATTAATTAAATACATTCAAAGTGATTAATTAACTTAACCAGTTGGAGAAGGTGGCTACTGCATTCCATCTTCACATTAGGGTTCTTGATTAAGTCACAAGCAAAGCTAGAGACTTGTCTCCAACAGATTTTAATGAATTTTGTATAATGAAGGAGATAAAGAAATAAAAATTGATTTTGTTGTTTTCATAGTAAAAGCATTGGAAAAAGGAAAAATCACTCAATAATTTTTCTACAAACAAAATACAACCTGTCAATATCTTAACGGAAAAAATGTTTTGCTCCCTTATTTCTTCTTTCATCTTCTGAGGCACTTACAGGAATGATTGATTCAACTGCTTTTACATCCATAATTTTGCAATTTTATCTTTAATTCACCTTTAGGAGCAGCACTAATTAGTTGAACTGCAAAACCAGCAGCAACACATCAACTGGCAGTGTAAAGGGCTGATATACAATGTACTTCATAAGTAACTACTTATCCTTAATCCTTTTTAAACTGATTTTGAAAAGAGGTCACACAATCCATTGTGTACATTTTTGTTTGCTTGTTTGTTTGTTCATTCATGACAACATATACTCAAAAGTAATCCCAAATTATTTTTTAAACATTTAGTATAGAGGGAGAACTGTGCCCTGACTTATATCGTAAAAGTAATACTTTCCTTCAAACCTTTTTAATTATCAAAAATTGCACAAAACACTACACAAAATGTAGCTGTCTATTCTTTCAAAGAGTAAAGACAATCATTGACGGAAGAAAACAATATTTCTTTTTGCAGCAATGCCATCGGAAAGTTAAAAATAAAAAATTATTTTTTTAAAATGTAAAACTGACTTCAAATTATAAATAAGTAAACACACAAAAGTAAATGAAAAGTTTGTACATAAATTTAGGCTTACGGTCCATCATTATCTTTATTTAATAAAAAAATTGACATGTGAATGAGCTGAATCAAAAGTCTAAATGTTTCTTCAAAATTATGATTTTTTTTAAAGAGCATTTTTACATTTTGAAATCAGTTTCACATATTTTTTTTGAAGTTACATGAACAATTTTCTTTAGCTAAGCACACCTGATTCTCACAGTATAAAATGATACAACTGCATGAACTAAAATCAACCAACTCATTAAAATAACCAATGAGCTAACTGAAAGAAGTCATCGAATACAAATATATGCACAAAAATAAAAATACATAATACAAATACAGTAGAACCCTGGTAATCCGAACACTGGTCTGTTCAGATTATCTGAAAAAATTACACATGCAATATCACGATAGTTACCAGTGCAATAAACATTTCATTTTAAGAACTAGTGTTTCAGTAATTAGTTGTAAGTTCTACAGTAATTACAAATCCTTTCTTTACACTACAAATAAGCATTTTATTGATTTTGTTTATTTTTCCTCTAATTTAAATTTAGTTTGGATTATCCGAAATTTTGGATTTGAGGGGTTCGGATTAGTGAGGTTCTACTGTAATTCGTACAAATTTTGTAGCATGAAACATTTAAAAAAATAGCTAAAAGAATATTAACTGAAGATGTGCTGATGAAGACAAAACAACAACAATAAAAAAAATAAAAGTCCACAGTTTCTATGTAGGTATATACGTATTTACCTGAATATAAGACTAGCTTTTTTCCTAAATATCTTAGTTGAAAAATGCGGGGTCATCTTATATTTGAGATAAAGCTTGGTTGGTTAAGGTCTAAGTTTTTACATTGCTTTTAAATGACACAAAACTCAAATGTAGGTGTAACAATAAACTGCTTAGATGGTAAAAATATTGCACATATCTATAATACATAATTATATTCACGGTAGTATTGCCGGCATCCACCGCGACTTTGCCAGGCAATTCTGGCTGATATTTTTGAAAGAGAAAATCTCAAATGAATTGCGTTGTATCAAATGAAACGTAATGTGAAAATTAATGCCAAGATTGTTACACAATGAAGGTTCTACAAGGTTGCGTGAAATCTCACTTCGGCATGGTGAATGCATATCTGCATTTTGAACTGTTAAAGGAAGAGGCCATCAACAAGTGTGGGAGAGCAGAACAGAATGTTCTTAGGTGGCATCTGATGAAAGATTAAGAACAATGTAAATTTAATGTGCAAAACTTTCAGAGGGTCATAAAGTCAAAAGATGTCGCATCATGGAAAGAGGACCAACAAGAAAGAAACATTGATGTATGTGAAGATGTTGAGGGTATTGACAAAAACATGATTATGACTTTAAGCAACACAAAAATAATAAATCTGAAATAAGTCGTTTTATTCTCATTAACAAATTTTCTTGTTAATAAGACAGTTTGTAATTTTATTTTGACTAAACAGTAAGAATTAATTAAAAATTTTAAAAATTCTAACAAGGCCTCTTGAAAACTTCGGGGGTTGTCTTATTCAGAGTCGACTTATATTCAGGAAAATACATTATTTTTGACCTCACTATGCATTAAGTGCATAATTAATAAATTATCTATTATTTTTATTTCACAACAAGCAAATGTATCCTAGCTTTTTTTTTAAATATGCTTTCCGTCTTTCTCAACTTCATATGTTTATAATCTAGCACCATCATCTACACACCTTCTCATTTATATAAAGCAATTCAGGAAGGAAACTTACAAGAAGGGAAATTTCCACAATCCGACAACATTCGGTTCATTTGTGAAATTTTATCCCAACCTGGAAGAAATACTAAAATGGCTCCATCATCTTCCTGACGGCAGATGTAACAGATCAATTCAAATATTAAGTCGAGATTAACATCCTCACTCTCAGGATTTGCAAGAGTAGTTAAAACCCACTCTGGATAGTCGCCTGAGCTACGCAAATGCCTATGAAAAGGAACACAAAAATTATCAATTTTAACATGAAACAGTTCCAAGGATATGATTCAGAAAACCATTCTTTTTTACTTATCTAAAATATCTATTAATTATAATAATTTTCTCATTTTTGATTGTTTGTATTTATTAGCATTTATATATCTATCAAAGAAATGACATTTCAATATTAAATTACGTAACACAATTTTAAATAACTGTATATTACTATCACTATGATATATTACTTCCACCACCTACATTCCACTCCTGTTTACTGAATGATATAACAGTAGTATCAAACCTCTTTTTATTTCAAATGTATGAATAAAAAATTTACCTGATGTAAGGCTCAATGAGATCATTAAACTCCACTGTTTTTCTCATCTTCAATTTGCCAGATTTTGTGTACCTTCTCCATTTTGGCTGTGACACAGCATTTAACCGAAAGCTACAATACAACAAAATATTTTACACTTAGTAACAACTTGTACAGATTAAGGGCAGAAAAATAATTTTTACTGAGTCTAAAAGTGTATAAATATGATGAAATAATATTTGTAATATAATTTTTTTAAAATAAAAATCACAGCAAATTCTGTGATCCATCAATTCTTTTAACAAAGATACAAATGTTAAAACAAATATTCAGTAGCTTCAGAATAATACAAAACTTTCAAGAATTTTCTAATTAGTTCTTAACAATTGCACATAGGGGAGGAGGATAGTCTGACACACCCCAGCATAGAATTGGGAGGGGGGGTATGGTAAGCAGTTCTTGTTTCATCATTTAGAACTTGTATTATTAAAACCATTCTCCAAAAAGATAGTTATCTTTGAATGTTTAACAGAGGTTTACATAACAATTTGAAATCATTGCTGTACATTATTGTTTTGTAGAGAAACTTCATAGTGTTCTTATAGTCAGACCTGCTTGTAAACATGTCACAATCTTATTTAAGGTTGTTTAGTTTAAATTAAATTTAATTTCTGTCAATGTACACTTCAGTTGTGCATTGAACATGGTGAATGTAGAACCAGTTCTTTTCAAAATTAGGACATTACTGAAAAGTGCAGGGAGGTAGTTTAGAGCCAGGAGAAGAGACATAGGATACCTTTTTATCCCGTTCGACAGCAATTCCCGTGTGGACTTGACATGAAAGCGTCAGTCACTATTAAACGTGGTATAACCAAAAAAAGAATCAGACTTTGGAATAACATAAACGCAAAATGACAGCTATGAATTGACGTTATAAGACAGATAATGTAATGACGTTGGATGACAATTGATATTTGCAAGAAAAAAAAAAAAATATATAAAAAAACGCAGAAACGTGCATTAGAAGCCACTTATCCGAACATTAAAAGATTACGCACATGGACATCGAGGATGTTTTTGGAGGAGCATGATTTACTGTCTGCGCGATTTCCGGCAAATACTGCCGAGTAATGTCCGAAGGATTTACGGCTTGCGACGAAAGATAAACGCTTGCCTCAAATCCGTCAAAATTTATGCGCTAGTTTGGAAAGAAACTGCAACTGACAACAAACATGAGAGTTATATTGCTGTATTGATACATCTGCTGAAGATTCTCGGGAGACAATTTGCTGACTATCGGTCAGCGACTAATGGTCAAGTACCTGTCGATGATCGGAGCGATTAATATTAATTTCCAAATAATTTCTGTAATTTTGTCTCACAAAAGACGAAACTTCATCAACATGTTATTTCCAGAAATTATTCTAACTACAAAAATTAATGAACGCGTCTGATGCGGAGCAATTTTAGCGTTCTAAGAATAAAGATGTAGAGCCTAAACTACCATAATTTCAAATTAGATCATCTGGAACAATGCATCATTCAAATCTATTGACTTGCGTCACAAATGAAGATGAAAGCCACCAACTATTCAATGAATTTTTCAAACTTCTTTGGACGTGCTGGCTTACCCAGCCGCACAATTTACGCGCTAGAAGGGTTTGTCTCCGTAGAAGTCATGCGCGAAACATAAACCAACCAAACTGGTGCAAGGTACGCGTTTTTGGTTAGAAGATTGCATGAACAATGTAATTTACGGCTATGATAATGATAGGAAAAATTCAAAGGTGAGAAGTCTCATATCCGAGATCGATGATCCCAACGATATTGTCTGTTTGATTTTAAGAAGACTTCAATTTCCGATACGTCTTGCAGTTTTGCCAGACCAACAGACAAATTCACAAGGCCAATCCTTAAAAGGTTGTTTGGTTAAATCTATGAACATTAATGTTTTTCCCATGGTCAATTATAACGTGCCATGTTCACGGCTCGCGAAGACCATCTGCGGTTGTTGTTTTTGGCGCCTGATAATTAAAACAAAAAATTGTCGTGTATGCACACGGTACTTAAATGAAGAGAACCTATGTACTCAAAATCAGAAAAAGTAATTATGACGATGATTAATTGTAGTATTCTATTTTTTTTATTATTTTTACCAATTAAAAAAACTTTGGCTTATTTAATTTGCCATTAGGCGGGACAAAGTTCGCCGGGTCAGCTAGTATAGTATATATACACACACGGACATGATCATATATATAATATTCAGATCAGCTGTCGCGTTGTTAGATAGTATATATATATATATATAGTATAGTAGTATATATATATATATAATATATAATATTATATATATATATTACACGCGACAGCTGAGAAGAAGTGGACCACAAACCCGAAAGATAGCCACACTTTAAAGATAACGGAAAAGGCTGTCTAGCATAAGAAAGTTTATGCCAATCTGTAGCACCATGAGTTTTTATGTTGCAATACTGATGATTGTCAATATTTACAGCACTGACATGCTATTATATATGCAATTCTGACTTACTTGAGTAACTTGACGATGTCTTCTAAATAATATTCATCCACTGGATAAGTGAAGCCAGGAATGTTCAGAGATGGGCAATTATCATAGTACTTAGAGAATTGCTCAGCATCCAGAGTAGCACTCATTAACACTACTCTCAAATCTGGCCTCTGGAACAAGATGTTTTTGCAATTACAAAATACTAAGAGTTAAAATATTTGTAAATGTGCTTAGATGCTAAGAGTTAATGTTTCACTTGAAGCATAGTATTAAACAGCTTTTAACTTTGGGCATAGCATTAAATGCTATATAATACTATGCTTCAAGAGAGAACATGAAGATTAAATATTCTTCTGTTCTGAATCTGTATCAGATCCAGTTTTGACAATGAAAAGGCATTCCAAAAAGCTCATTAAAAGACCAATAACCCTGACTAATACACTGATCTAAAAGTTTGAACGAAATACATATTCTCATAAGGAAAGAACATGAAGAGTACAGAAAACTGTTTACATAAACGTCAACACTCAAACCAGGAACTGCACAACTTTCAAATATTTCAAAAATAGTTTTCCCAGCTTATTACATATCTTGCATGCAATTTCTTATCAATTATCAAAACAATTAATATCTGATTGTTCTCTTTGGCCATTTAGTTTACATTAGTTAAGTTTAATTAATATCTGATTAATAATATCTAATTATATCCGATTAATACCCTATATTCTTACAAAATGTTGTGATATCAGTTTGAAAGATATAAACTTCTTCAAAAGAACGAAAAACAAATAATGACTTCCATATTGGAAAAAGGATTATAAAATAAATCATTAAAATAAAAACACCTAAAAATGAAAATAAAAAATCCATAATAAAATAACATTAATGGAATCTGTTATTCATAATCCGAATTTGGGCGTAAGTAATTGGAACAAATAAATATAATTTTGAAAAAATCAGTTTTTAAACTTTTAACACAAGTTAAAGAGTTCAGAATAAAAATAAAGTTAGAAATGAAATTAGTAATTTGAAATTCAAATTGTTATTTTTTTAGGGTGAATCCCCTAATACTGAAATTAGTTTTGGATGAAGAATATCTAAAATAAATGTAATCAAAATACAGATGGCAATCAATTTTACTGATTAAGTCTTTCACACACTATATCATCTCTGTACGGATGCAAGGATTATTTATCAATTTAAGCTCAACTCTACTATTACAAAACATTAAGCACAAAAGGGTACATAAAATCATTAAATCATGTTGAAAACTTTGGATGTTATCAGTATCAGGTGTTACTTACCCTAGGAATGACATCTTTGAGAATTGTTAGGACAAAGTCAGAAATGGTATCTCGTTCATGAATTTCATCCAAGATCAAGTGAGACACTTCAGTTAAAGCAGGATTTGATTGTAACTGTTGCAGCAAAACTCCTGTAGTGCAAAACAATATGGAACCTTGTCTCCGAGGTAGTTTTCTAGAAACAAATGTGATATTAATAAAAACTGGTCTCAAAAGAAAGCTCAAAGTGACATTCACAAAATGGATGAAAAATGGCTATTTCAGTTCAGGAGTTCAAGACCAGTATTTCTCATTCATATACCAAAATGGTACACATTCATTAAAAAATTTTAAATATTAAATTTTGGTAATGAAATCATTAGCGAGGCTCAATTGAAAGTTCTCATGAAGACTAAAATTCTAGACCATTTAGAAGTAGTAGTGTTAGGCATTTAGAAATACAAACAAAATTAAACATGTTTTTTGTAAAGTATTTCTACAAGCTCATAATATAAATTTAAATTATGTATCTTCAATACACAGATTACTAAGATATCGATTTACATTACTTGAAATTTTAAGAATTATATCATTTGGGTTGCAATAAAATTTGCTGTAATCCCTTTGCTTAAAGAGTGGCTTTCAGAAAGTACCCGTCAATTTATTAATTAACTTCCTCAAGAACAAAATATCTACATACCTTTCCAATCGTATTTGGTAGCCTACACTTCTACCACATTTTTCATCTCTTTCATCAGCCACACGCTCTGCCACTGATATTGCACTTATCCTACGAGGCTGAGTACAAACCACATGGCATACAGAGCCGCGACCAGAAAGTATGTACTCATCAAGGAGAAATTGTACAACTTGAGTTGTTTTACCACATCCTGGTAAATTAAGCAAATAAAGAGAGAATAATAAATTATCATTCACACAAATAAAAGTACTCACAGCAAATGTTAAATGCCTAAAGCAAAAATTATTTACATACGAGAAAAATACAAATGTTTTCTTTTAATCTGTTACCAATCTTTTCAAAATACTTTAATATGCAATAAGACAAGAAGATGGTAACTTAGAAATATATGACAAGAGCTGAGATATGATAGGTAAAGAATACTGGAATAAGGCTAAGGAGATGATTATTATTAATTCTTTAATTCTATTTCACAATTATTAGGTCACTAGGGTAAATATTTAAATTTCTTTAAAAGTTGTATTATTTAAGAAACAAAAATGAAAATTATATTTAGATCATATTGAAGATTACAAACACTAATAATTTCCCATTCATTACAAATTTATTTCCTACTTCAAATATATTTGAAATATTAAAATTATTGGATGAAACCAGCAAGAGGTCTGGAATGTTGGGTCCAGTTTGTTGACTGCTCATACATTCAACAATCAAAAACACATGTATACAGTTCCTTACTAGAAAGCATTATTTTGACAGGTCACAGAACAGTTCAGAATAAGAGATGGTTCATTCCTTTGAAAGTCATGGCTCTTTTGCCAGCAACTATACCTCAACTGTTCACGTAACTATCCAACAGCATTCTGAAGAATAGTATAGGAAGATTCACAGGGTAAGTATAAAGAGGGGGTACTCAAAAAATTAAGAATTTTTACATATTATCATTATTTGCCTCAATACGGTCTTTCAAAAGGTGTAAAGTTGAATGTTATTCATATTGACATCACAAGCCTTACAGTATGTAATAAAAAATTCTTTTAAAACAATGGCAGCTTGTGCTTAGGTTGTACAACCTCCAGATAATAGAAACAATTCTTATACTATGTTAGGAATGAAAATACATTTTCCATTTAATAACATTCAATATTCAAGATTTGCAGCAATATAAATGTACATGCAATCATTTTGAAATCATAGAGTGGCCCTCTCCAGCATCTTGTGCACTCCCAGGTAGTACACCAATTTCCGGCTCATAAGATCTAATGGACTTAAGCTTCCTGTGTTTACTCTTTGGCCGCGCCTCCCTATGCTTCCACATTGGACTCTTTTTTGTTTGCACTCCGCAACATTCTAGGTAGAGTCACCACTCAGTATAGGTCCTGCAACGCAGGGGGAGGGTAACCCTTGCCACACAGTGGATTAGGGGAATTTGCCGGTCCTAAAGGTCTCTGATAGGAAAACCAATTTTCTGTCTTCGTCTGAAACTAGTTACATCTTAATTTTATGAGTTTTGCATGTTATTGGAAGTACAAGTTCAGTCAATTTTTGACAGTATTGAATGCATTATGATGTTTGGGGAATTTATTTTCTTTTGATACGAGGTTTGTTTCAAAATACGCATTTGACGAGTCCTTCGTGTAAAGTTGACTGTTCTGGAAGAAATTATCTTTTTCGGTCGTGGCTCTTTCACGTGTTTACCAGTTATTTCGCGAGCACCATGAACAAGGTGTATGTGGAAGATTTTTGAAGATAGATATAACATACATGATGTTTTGTTGTTGTTGCAGACAAATCATCTTTTTCAAGGAAGTTAAGCATCTCTGAGTTTATTTGGGGGATGGGGGAGGCTCCTGCCATAATCTTAAAGTAGTTCTACATCATAACACTATTTTTCCATATTATTTGTAATGATTATGTAAAATTATAATTGTATTGCAAGTTATATACTTCTACTGGAAGCAAATTTTCTTGCCCAAACTGCTTGAAATGCAGCAGACAATGTCTATTTTCTACACTTCAATAAACTACTTCATAAGTAAAACTGAGCATTTAGTTGCTTTCATGGTCAATAATGTGGTTACCATGTTAAATCTAGTTTCCTCTATGATATTCAACAGGATTCATTGACATAGCACAAATGCTTCAAAGTTTCATCAGCTGTAAAAACTTTTATCCTCCCACTCTTTATTAAACACATTTCTCAAAATTAACAAACCCTACAGAAAATGATACGAATAACATAACATTCAGATCTTCTCTCAATTAACGTAATGGTTGAATTAACATATTTACACCTACTCTTGACTGTATGAAACAAAGTCAAAATGGAACTATCGATACCCCACTCCCCCAATCTCCTGAAGCAGTGTTATTCAAACTGTGAGGCACACCTTTCTAGGGAGATGAGAAAGGTTCAGGGGAAGGCGCGAGAACTTCATAATAATGGAATGAAATAATGCTCTAATTATTTCTATATGAATAAATTACCATCAGACTAACTATGCGGGTTCATTAATTTTAACAAATGACAGACGAAACATTTGTAGAATATGTGATCGTAGAGCTTCAATGAAACTAGCATTGACAGCAATCAGTTATTTTAAAAGAACTGTGGCTGTTGGCACATCAGAATGTGGCTCGCTTTGTTGTGGAGTGATTCATTCAGTAATTACAGCAGTAAATAGCAAATCACTTACAACAATTATTTTGGACAAAAGAGAACAGCTGAAGGAATGACAAAATGACAGTGATAGAGTCTGTTGGAGAGAAGTATCCCCAAGGAGAGTTTCACTGAATTATTTTTACATTATTTTATTGTAATATTCTACTTGTAATAATAAGAATATAATTAAAAAGTATACATGATGGCCTTACTTTCAGGAAAAGTATTTATTTGTTATAAACAATTTAATTTTAATAAGGAGAGGCGTGTGCAGAATTTTCCCCCTGAAGGGAGCCACGTAAGCAACAAGTTTGAAAACAACTTGACAATCAAGCTTGGCCAAATGTCAGAGAATTATAAACAGAAAGTAAACATACAATATCATTGATAGGTGGAAGAGAATTTTATTAAAAATATGTAAGCTTACCTATAAACCAATTAAAGAGAGAGAAAACTTAATGTAATGATAGAGATAACTTTTCCGCGTCTGTTGCACAAAATGCCTACTGGGCAGAAAACAAAATGTAAAAACCAAAAGAGAACAGCTGAAGGAATGAGAAAATGACAGTGATAGAGTCTGTTGGAGAGAAGTATCCCCAAGGAGAGTTTCACTGAATTATTTTTACATTATTTTATTGTAATATTCTGCTTGTAATAATAAATAGGTCTTCAAACTATCATTTAGCTACAATCTTAAAACTCAACTAGTAAGTAATAAACAAACATGATTGAGTAATTTGTGAAGAAAACAAAACAACAACAAAAATTCTGCACAAGACGTTTTTCTCAAAACATCTCATGCATATTTGAAGCACTACCACTTATAAATCTGAATTAATTTTATAATCATGTTTACTCTTCTAAAGGCAAAATGACCAGGAGGTACTTTACTATAAATCACATACCCACTATATATCGCATATTATCATGTAAACCACACACACACATGAAAGGATTAAAGGAAAATGAGGATTAAAAATTAGATAATGAAACTTCAAATGAGACTCACCAGTTTCACCATTTATTACACAGACTTGATTAGAATCAATGATTCTCACTATTTCTTTGCGTTGGCTGTATGATGGAAGTTTCTGTCTGAAAGCCAACATTTTCTGATAGTAACGACTTGAGGATTCCTTCTCTAGAAGCTCTTCTCTTAGTGTGTCATCTAATGCACGATTTCTTGTTAAACAGTACCGATTTGAGAGTGATCGCTCCAAGTTGTCTTGCATGCTACCAGTTATGCTTCGCAGGAAATTGTGCTTAAATGCACTTTCGCCAATATGTCGGTATTTGACTACTGGATTCATCTTTGATTTGCTGTCTGTATCATCCGAGTCAGACCCTCTGTCATCTCTTCTCATGTATGTATCCTTGTAATCATAATCATCTACTTCCCTTTTTATGGATTCCCTTCTCATACGGGCACAAGGAGGAATATATTTTTCAACTGAAGGGGTAAATTTCTCTTCTTTTGGCAGTTTGCCCGACTGCTTCATTCTCTGATAAAATGAATTATTTTTACTGTTAACCACCTCCTCCAGTCTTTCAGTGACACTGCACTTGTGGGCACTTCGTGATGGTCCTGCACTTTCATGTGAGTTTGTGAAGTACTTTACATCAATATCCCTTAGAAACCTGTAGATCTCAAACTCTCTTTGACCATCCAATGACACTTCTTGACAAGTCAGGGCTTTCTGCAGAAATAAGAAAAATATTACCAGAATTCAATGAAAAATTATGCAAAAAGAAAAAAAACAACTTACTGCTTGTTTGTCCTTTTGTTTGCCTTTTCTTCCCTGAAGGTTTTTAAAATACAACCCTGTGTGCAAATAAAAACAGTCAACACAAGATAAAATTTATATATTAACCATTGACAATGAACAAATAAGTAGTATCAACCTACCAATTTCTGCTCCCTTTAGGCCTGCAGGGTAAGAACTTTTTCCTGGACCAGACCCAATGTGACTGAAGTTTCCTGAATAAACAATCACAAACAATGATTCTTATATTCAATATAGTTTAAAAAAATTGTGATTATCTTAATTGTTCTAAGAAGCCAATACTCTAAAACAGTTGTATTGCTTCTGTCCTTATTTACATATGCAAAACACAAATTTTATTACTCCGGTTTGTTTTTTATTCATTTCCTATTTACTTTGCGTTAATTCCTAAATAATTTTTCTATACAATACCAATTGTGTTATTTAATTTAATTTTACATATTTTGTATTAGTCAAGACAATCTGGGTGTAGAAGAGGTGAATTTCTGATCTATTTTAGAGTGTACCTATTCTCCGATTATCTTATTGCATAAAAAAATCACAGGGACAAATATCCAACCAATTTCCGTACATGTAGAACAATGAACTTCTTACACACAAAGATAAAAGTTTCTGTACAAAAGAACAAAAATAAATCTCTCAGAATACTATAAAACTTAACCAAATTATAATTTCCTAATAAACAAACATAAATGTTAACACATACATATTTCATTATTAAAAACGTTTACAATAACTGAAACTAAGAAACTATTACTAGGTGAAAATTATGTAATTCCTATCTTAGGTTCGATACAGGTTTGATTTTTCAAACTCCCATTTGAACAAAACTATGTGTGAGATGTGTATCCTCCAAAAATATTGTTTTGGACTTTTGACATTTTTCCTCAATGAATTACTTAAATATTTGTTTATTTATAATGAACAAGCGTATGACAATGAAACAATGGTTTCTGTTTTGCAATTCAATAACTACAGTTTCAAATCAAAGCTGCATGTACAAATATCCTTGGCTCTTGCTTCATAACAGATGATTTAACCTAAATGGTAGTTGGGCACGACATCAGAAGTTACCACTTATTCCTATACTAATGGANNNTTGCGTGATAGAAACTTTTTCAATGATTGGTCTAGATGAAACATTTCCCTGGAGTTTGCAAAAGTGTTCTTTGGAGTTTTCTTCTACACTGAAAATTCAGTTCCTGTTTATGACTTTTTTTGTACAGTATGTAAGTAACAAAATTAAACTGCATAGTAGATTCTGAATTTAATGAAAACAGTTTCAGAAACATGGCTTCTACAATAATTTTTGAAAAGCATAATTTGTCAAATCTTAAGGAACTCCTCCCTCTTAAAAAGAGATACATTTGAATAGGCCTTTCCTGCTACCTTACTTCACAGCCAAATTGCCTATTGCAACAGGCCTGTCGTGATAGTTTCAGATACTCCATATACAGAGAGAGAAAAAAAGGAATAAGTAATGGAGATCTTCAAAAGAAAACTTAATTAATCCTTAGGCTGACAATGATAAAATATTAAATCCTGAGCATAATGTCCATTGATATCATAGGCCCAATCTTGTAGTCGTTCAAAAACTATTTTTATCATCAATTCATGAAATCAAAATAGGTTCAAAGCATCAGAGATTTTTAAAGTGTAGGTTGCCCCGCACTAATTTGATGTGGGTAATCAAAAATTTTAATATTTGCATAATCAAAATTTATTACTACTTGATTCAATAATCATACTGCATAATGTTTAAAAATTGTATAAATCTTACAATTGTTAAAAAGCTTATAAAACAACGGTTTTAAATAAATATATAAAATTCACTTGGATTTTAATTTCCTCCAGTTATGCTTGATTTTTTTCACGAGTGAGCTGAGAAAATAAACCACTGTTCATAATAGTATCAAATCATAAAAGATTGGGATCCTATGGTCTAGCCAAAGCAGTGAACATTAGTGACTCTAATATCACAAGGTTTCCTTTTCAATCCATACCCAATTAAAATTAATTTTATTTTCAGACAGCCACAAGTAAAAGCAGTTCCTTTTGGGTATGAATAGCATGCTAAAAGAACAATTTTTACTACTAGTTCTTAAAGTAAAATGATGCTTAGGTGTTCAGACAATTCTGTGAATGCAACAAATAAAACAATACTTTCGTCTGCCCGCATCAGCTACTACTGATTTTAATCCATCATCAAGTGATTTGTGTGCTTGAATGAAAATGAAATGAAAACTGGTAAGGCTGTCTAAAAAGTAATGTATTAAACATATGGTTGAAGATTTTATTTTGCTTGTAGGATTGTGCCCCTAGGCCTCCCACGTTTCCTATTCTCACAATAAAACATCAAATGTAGTTTTGTAGACATAAAGTGAAATCAAAAGTTTAAACATTTTATAATTCAACACAAACTCAGAAATGTTTAATCTCTTTATTACCTTACTATGCATTCAATTTGTACGCAATCATAAATTGACAATAAATGAGAAAAGTGTCAGTTTCCATCATTGGTTATTTTATTTTCCCAATAATATGTCATACTGAAGTGAGACCAATTTTAGGAGTGCATTTAGATGAAGGTTTTATATTCCAGCGTCTTAAGATTTAAATTTAATTAAAAATGGAAATCGGAAGAACAAACCAAAACAACAAAAAATTAAAATTAAACGTTTTAAAGGATTGTTAACGCATAAGAGGACAGGAATAATAAGGGAGGTAAAATCACAAAAGTATTTAATTCTTATGGCATGCCAACAAGAAGCAACATATGGTTCAAGTTTGAATATTTTTACTGAGGGATTCTTTGTCCTTAGCATTTTTGGAAAACAGTAGAATAATGCTAGGGTAAAGATGCTTTTTTTGAAATTTTTTTTTTGTACCATCATTGAAAGATTCGTCACTGCGTTTTGATACTGCAGCATCTATTACTCCAGAACTTTTCAGGCGTTCATCCAATAAAATTTTCTGGTGTTCTAATGGCATATTCTCATCAGCTTTCACAATTACCTGCAAAAAAGGACAATGTATGTTTTATAAAAAATGAAAGATAGTTATTAAAACAACTAGAAATATTCTGGTTTGGAGGTTCCAGTAATCTGGTTACCATGAAGCAGAAATAACCAAATTGATTGAAACATATTAGACAAACATTAAAATATACATACTAATATATTGCAAACACATTTATTATATTTTTCTTTACCTTTTTTTAATTAATTGATAAGTTAAATTTAGTTGATTTGTTCATAATGGATTTTTTAACTATATGTATTTTATTAACTTTGAAATAACAAAAAACATATCGGAAGGTATTGTACTAATGATTTACTTTTTTTAATCTTCAGCTATAAAAATGGCTGTGTTTTCAATGAAATCATTTTGTTGTTGTTTTTCTATAGACACTTGAAAATCTCACAAACATTGATCAAAAAAACATCATGATGTAAAGTGTTTTATTATTGTCTGTTAATAAATATTTATCATTTGAACTAATTATTTTATAGTACTAACAGTTAAAAATATTAATAATTTAGTAATATTATAAAAAATGAATGGCATTCTACAAGAACTCCATTTCATAAATTGTTGTTGTTCTTCCTTAACACTACCTCACAACTCTTTCTCATTTAAATTAACAGACAAATGTGAGAAGAATGAGAACAAATAAGTCCACAATCTAGATCATACACAGACACACCCATTTCTGTATTAAATATTGATTGTTCATGTAGCATAGTCTAAAATATACATGGTTCATTCTTTATCTATTTTAAAATAGTTTAATACAATAAGAAAAATAGAAGTAATTATAACTATCCATGATTTATCAGGGTATTCAATGTTATCCACCTGAATACCACAAACTTTCAAGCACAAAAGTCAAGAAGCACTTTATTGCTCTCGATTCAAAACGTTTAAACAGAAAGTACAGACCTTGTCAATATTTTTAACCACAAAAAGTAGCGGAATAGGGTGGGTAGATGGGGGAGGGGAGGGGGGCATTTATATAATAGCGTGTTAGTTTAAACTGAAAAATTGCTTACAGACGTATTTGTAGTTGCCATTCTCTCTTCTGCTGCCATTCTTTCTTCAGCAGATTTTCTGCTTTTTTCTCTAAAATACATACCTGAAACAAATTATTCTCCAATAAGTGACACTTACATTAAATTTATCTGACACTGCTTATGACCCAGACATTTTTTTCTTCAAGAATAAATACTCTTCCATTACAAGTATTTTATGATTTTAAAAGGTATGTTCACAAACAGTTTACTCTGACAAGTTAAGCAAGAACTGTAACCTGTAATAAATATGATATATCTTTATCTGGCAATTCTGAAGTTGTGATGGGTAACTGCAAATCTCAAATACCTTTCAAAAAAAAGCTATGGGGACGTAAAAATGATCAGTTGCATTCTGGTAAGTAAATTGCCGATTTCATTAAAATTATAATCACATGTGGGGTCAGAGTAAACCCTACAGATCTATTATTGTTAGCAGTAGTAATGGCAACAGTATTGCACTGTTGATACTGCACTAGGCAGATGAAAAGTTTGGAGGACAAGTGTTTTTTTAAAGAGATGAACTTTTGTTGTTGTTGTTGTCTTTTTTGTTGTTGTTGTTTTTGTTTTTTTAAATTTAAATCAGTTAATGCTTATAAAAGTGTTTAGAGTTTTGGACAATTTTGAGTAAAATTAGTTATAAGTTTTAAAGGCTTTCCAGGATCCAGAAATATGAAAAACAACCTAATATTTTGAAGAATTTAAATTATAAAATTTTTATTTTTCATTTTCAGATAAAGTTTTCCTTATAGGTTCCTTATTAAAGTTTCCTTATTCCTAATAAGTTCAAAGTTTTGTTCTTTAAATTCATTATTTTAATTTAATGTACCAGACCTCTTGAAATATAACTAGCTATTGAACCCCTACTTTTTGCAATTCCATTTTACTACCTAATCAATCTAAATTTCAGCACATTACCTTAGGATCTTAGAGATCTCACTGTACTGATTTGGTGACATAATATATGACATTCTGATTTCAAAAATCTTTGCTGAAAATATTACTCAAACATTACATGATTTATTCCAGATAATTTTTTATTAATTTCTTTTTTCTTATCATTCATCTCTTACAAAACAAATGCCTTAACTGATATAGTTTTTCTTTTGTGGCTTTGAAAATCAATACTTTCAAATCAAATCATGACGGGTATTTTGGTTTGTCAACAGGTTGGTTAAACATGTTTTTGACTCCCTTTTATAATTTATTCAAACCATTCAATTATTTCAGGTAAATATTCTCAGTAATTAAAAAAGAAATAATTTCTTTGTTAGTTAAATATGTCTCGCATTTTCCACTTCTTCAGAATCATTGTGAAACTATACTTTAATGCCTCAAGAAACCCATTCAATTGCTCATAATTTTTTCATTTCTCAATTAATTTTAATGACCAAATTTATGAATGCTATTGAGTATTATGTTTTGGTCTTTCAAAAATTAGTAATACAAGCCAAACATCTTTACTGAGATAATTACATTCAAGCATTTGACTCTGAATTAAATACAACCGTAGATAGAAATGATAGATGATCACCTAATAAAAACCACCAAGATCTTTTATAAATGACTATACATGACTAAAAGCAAAAGATACAAAAGGTAGAAAAATTACCACTATCAACAAAGACATTAAAACAATATCTTCTTTCTCTATCTCTTGTTAATAAATTACCAATGCAGCCATTAAAAATGAAATGAATTCTAACTAGAAGAAGAAAAGAAACCTAATGTGTGCACATCTTCTACAGTTACAATAGTGTTATTCAAATTATCATTCACCATGTTATTGAGGCAGAAGTATATTACTTCATGAAGGGGCATGATGAAGGTAAAGAACCCAAATCAACATCTGATTTGCCTTTGAAAATAGATTGTATTACACTAGAAAATTCTTGCTAAAAACACTCATTTCTATCTGCATTCAGAATTCAACTCACACTTAGTTTAAAATAGGAATCCCAGAATTAAGAAAGCGTGCACACAATATACTTCTCCCTGTAGCGTGTCACACACAGTTTAAAACTGTTTTTGGTGTAAAATAAAAAAATCTCAAATAGCTTTATTTTATGCAGAAACACAAGAGTTTCGGTGAAATAAAAGAAAGAACAAGAGACAGTCTCCTGATTATTAGTGTAGCAAAGGAGCTATTTAATAACATCTCTAGATGAAACAAGTCTTATCATTCACAAGTTTATATCACAAATGCCTTCAAGCTCAAGTGTATTGGGAGGCTTACATCTTTATGTCCTCTTTCTTGAGCATATCACCATGGTGGTGATATAAATTTGCCTTCCACTCCACTATTGTAAAGGGGTAATGAGGCGCAAACTATGAGGTGCAGGAATGGCATGTTGATTCAAATGGGAAATGTGATGGTACAATAATACAGTAAAACCTGTCTAAGCCGGAATCATTAGGATCAAACATATTCATCTAAAAACTACATTTCAAAGAAACAAAGACGCCCAGGGAGTGACAAAGAAAATGACATACAGAAATGCAACACAAAGTCCAATGAAACAAAGCGAATCTCTGGAGAATCAGTCATGCCTTCGCAACATTCTCAATAATTTGAATTCTAACTTTCTCAGAAGTTCGTGGTATCTCCTGTGATAGATCTTTACTTGCTTTGGCCATTTCTTTAGATATTTTGGAGAAAAAAACGGGTAGAAGTTCTTGTCTTCAAAAGAAAATTGCTTCTATTTAGCGCCAGTGAAGATGTGTTTGGAATGTTATCAGTGCTCGCTGTGAGCTTTTGCCTTCATCTGTTTATTGTGTCAGAGAGGCAGAAGCAAAGTCATAGTCCAAGAAAAGTTGTTTGACTAATAACAACGGCATTCTGAAACTACAGATGAACAAACTTTGGAAACAGAGGAAAATTTAGAAAGGAACATGAAAACAACAATATTACCACAAAAAACAAAAATGTTTCATACATAAAAGGTTGAGAATTCACCATTCTAGAAGTGATTTAAAGAAAAATATTTATTACTATAAAAACTGTGTGTACTCAGGGATAGTCTTTGGATTATTTGTGTCTAGGGTGTAATATAATTAAACATGGCTCAATAGCAACCCTACGACAGCATAATTCTACATTCTACATAATTCTATATAATTTCTCGACGGTTCTGAATTTCACAACTTCTAATGACTGCCCAGCATCACCAGTGTTTACCTTACTCACAGATCAGTACGAGTAC